ATGTTTTGAGAATGATGAGGGAAACAAATGTACAAAAGTGCTTGACACAATGGATGTATGTGTGGATTGTGATAAGAGTTGTACAATCCCCCAATAAAAGGAATAAAAATTAAAAACGGTGTTATTAATAGTTGCCTGGATATCTTATAGAAGCATGTCCAATTGACATACATAAAATAATTGGCCAAAACACTAACATATTATTGCTACAATAAGACTGGTTTCAATAAATGGGGGGCCCTAAGTTTATTTGTATGAACTGTTGGAGCAATTTAGACACTCATGCATACCTTATGTTCTGACACTGACACCTGGCACATGTAATACTTCTTTAAAATGATGTCAGCTTAATGAAGGTGGACAGTGCTTAGGTTCAATGGTCTCCGCTTTGCCCTAAGTGAGCATTGCTACCAAGACATTGGCAGCATTTACAGCTGCTTTCCTCAAGAAGATTCCGGACTAGCAAAGCCTTGCAGGCTGAAGTTGAGGTTTCAGCTTTAGTAGGTGGACTGAACATTCCATGTTTTGTTATCAAATTAAGAAGGTAGAATGTGAAGATGATCTCCTCCCTCTTGTTTTATGATTCAGCAGTTTTAACTCTTACAGGGACCATAGAAGGTACACTGACTTTGAAATCAGACAATCTGCCTTTAGGTCCCAGATTTGCCACACAACACACACACACACAGCCATTGACTCATAGCAACCCTATAGGACAATGCAGAACTGTTCCTTAGGGGGTTCTAAGACTGCCAATCTTTATGGGAGCAGACAGCCTGATCTTTTTCCTGAGCAGCAGCTGATGGGTTTGAACCGTTTACTCTGAGATTCGTTTACTCTGAGATTAGCAGCTCAATGCTTAACCCACTCTAGATTTGAAAACACAGCCTTCTAAGCCTTAGGCCATAAAATAGGGGAGAATACCTGCTCTAGTAATTTGATGTTATACATATTTTTGTAAATCACAGTAATACTTTATGTAAAAAAAATTATTCTTAATACCTACCTAGTATGTCTTCTCTTTATTTAATTATTAGTCCTTTAAAATACTTGGTTGTTAACCAAAAGTTTGATGGTTCAAAGCTCTGAGCCACCAGTGGCTTCTCGGAAGGAACAATCGGTAATCTGTGGCTGTGAAGATGAGAGCCCGGGAAACCCTATGGGGCAGCTCTACCCTGTCACACAGGCTGGGGTAGAGGTGGGGTTGATTCCATGGCACACAACAACAACATTATGGTTTGGGGGCTCTCCAATAGCTTTCATACTTTTCCTGCTATTTTCTTCAATAACACAACCAGGTCTACTAGTCCTAAAAGACGGAGGTAGTTATACAGCATTAAGCCTATCCCCACGAAAGCCAAGAAAGTTCTAAATTTCCACCTATTACCCAGCCTTCTGTTATCCAATCCTTTTTTCAAATTATGCCCTGATTTAGCAATCAGATGCTTGGTACTTACTTAGAATGGACTTGGGCACAGGGAAGAACTCCCCATACTTCTTGTTAAAACCTTGTGCTAGATCTTGAACTAGTTCCATGTGCTGGACTTGATCCTCCCCGACAGGAACGTGTGTGGACCTTTAATAAAAGACAGGCAGAGTAGTCACTCAGCAAGGCTCCTGCTTATACTGAAATGATATTGCAAGCAGCTGCGTTGCTGTGCCTCTTTCATTGTTGGTGTTCAACAAATGTTCCCCAACTACAGAGGGAATGTTGAGACACAAGTCTTTATCTATGTCTTAGACAAATGCCAAAGAGATATTTGTCTATTCTTGTTTTGCTTCTTCCATAGCAGAAAAATACAGCCATCAGCACCACAGTGACGGGATCTTGCTGGGAGAGAAGAAGAGTATCTTAAATAGCACATGCGCTCAGCATAACTACATTTTAAGACTACGCTTCATTCGCTCGGCCCGTCAGTGCGTATTATTTCAGCCCTTAGCCAGATGGTTTTGCCTCAGCTTTCATTCCACCCACTCTCATATCAGAGATGGCAGAAAGCTTTCAGGCAAGTCTCCCCCACTGTCAGAGAGCTGTGGCAACTCAGGATGTGTTTGGAATCTATTAGTTTATTTTCAAGTAAATTTTAATCATGGGGCCCATGGTAAGCTGCAAGGAAGTTAAAGTAAACGAATAAAATCTTGAGCACAACATAAATGGATCTCAAACAAAAAACAGTATGAATGAACAAAAGCAAGTTGTGGAAAACACAGAGAATATGCTGGCATCAATGCAAATTTTAATAAAAGTACACATGAAAATACCATATGAAGTTTATAGAAACCTATATCTTTAGTCATTATAAGTAAAAAAATAGACACAAGAAGACTCCTCTCCTTCCAAATTCATGATCATAACTGACCCTAGAAAGGAAAGTGAGAGAATGGGTCTGGAAAGGGGACATCAATTTTATCTGTGATATTTTATTTTATTTAAAAATAAAGTTCAGCAGATGAATGAATAAACACAATGAGGTATGTACACACAACGGGCTACTTTGAAGCCATACAGAAAAATGAAGCTCTAGCGCACGTCACAACAGGGAAGACCCGTGAAGACATAATGCTGCACACAAAGTCAGTGACACAGAAAAATATTGCATGACCTCACTTACATGAAATACGCCATTAGCTAAAGACCGAAGGAAGCCTCCCTGGTGGTTACCATGGAGGGAGGGCAGAGGGTCGGTTTGATTTGGGAGGCACCCAGATTATGGTGAGGAGCCCTGGTGCCCTAGTGGACTATCTGATGGGCTGCTCACTACAGGTCAGCAGTCTGAAACCACCAGTTGAGCTCTGTGGAAGAAAGAGCAGGTTTCCAGCTCCTGCAAAGAGTTCGTCTGGGAAACCCAGGGGGCAGTTCTCCTCTGTCCTGTGCTGGGTCCCGTGACGTCTCCACTGTTCTTGTTCGTTTGAGCCCGTAGTAGCAGCCACTGTGTCAAGCCATCCCATTTGGGATCGTTCTCGATTTCTGCTGGCCCTCTACTTTAACCAAGGATGAAGTCCTTCTCTGGGGGTTGCTCCCTCCTGGATACGTGTCCAAAGTACATGAGATGAAGACCTATCACCTTTACGCCTAAGGAGCCTTCAGAGTGTACCTCTTCTTTGTTAGTTCGTCTGGCCAGTTCATGGTGTAGGTACTATTCTTCAACAACACCAGAATTCAAAGGAATCGATTTTCTATTGACCTTCTTTACTGTTGCAGGCCAGGCAACTGAAGTACCATGGCTTTGGTCAGGCACCCCTAACGTTCTCCAGGGGACATCTTTGCTTTGGGACAATCTTAGGAGACGGAAGGCAGCAATAATAATTGTAATATCTGTATGTTCAGTTTATCATGATAAGGCTCATAGGTCTAGCTGTAAGGAGTTTTGCTCTCTTTTGGTTGAGGTGTGATTAGCATTGCCGACTGTGGTCTTCGGCCTTCATCACTAAATGTGATAAAGTAATCCCATTGTGTCAGGTGTATCTCACAGGTTGTTAGTGAGTTTTCTTCTCCACCTGATATCAAGTTGTTCTTCAAATTGCCCAGTTCCTTACTATTTGCCCAGCATGAATTGAACAAGCACGGTGAAAAGAGACAACCCTGACACACACTTTCTCATTCTAACACAGGTAGCATCCCCTTGTGTGTTAGGCTGGTTTCTCTAGAGAGGCAAAACCTGTGACAGTTGTATGTGTTTGCATATAAAAAGAGCTTTATATA